ATCATCTGGACATAAAACAAGCAGAAAGAAAAAAAAAAAAGAATAAAAAGCATAAATTCGAGTATACTTATCAAAGCATATGATGAGACAAAGTAGTTTTCAGCTTATGTATGAAGCATCAATACATTGAACAGTTAGAACCTACCTCGCCTTCAAGCTGATCTAGTATTTGAAGGACATGCTGATGGTAAGCTCGTTCAGCCTCAACCTTGAAAACAACAAAGGGCAATTTAGGAACAGTTTTTCATGTGATACGACAAATTTCCATTTGGGGTAATTGCGAAAATGACCCTTAGGTTCTTAAGAATTATAAGGTTGTGTTTGGTAAGCATATAAGCTAGCTTATTGTTTATTTATAAGTCATAATCTATTAGCTATAAACTCGAAATTCATTTAAAAGCTATAAGCTAGCTTAGCTGCTGATATACCAAACATAGCCTAAAGTTTATGTAAGGGGGTATCTACAGTATTTTCCGGATAGAAGGAGCTTCTTGGAAAGTCGTTTGCTTATAAGGTGGGAGGGTAATGAAAAGTTAAATCCCAGGGCATTTTCACAATTCTCACAAACTTCTCTTTTTTTCTTTCTTCTCTTCTCTTTTCTTTTCTTTTCTTTTCTTTTTTTTTTTAACAATTAGCCAATATCTTTTGTAAGTTGTAACTATACCTTCCATTTAATGACAGAAACGGGAGAAGAGCAAAGGGTGGAATTACCATGGCAATTAGCCGTTGAAGGGTCAACCTCTGTTGTTGAGCCTCAACAGCAGCCATAGCAGCGGCAGCTTCTTTCCCAAGTGTGGCGACATTTGACTTCAGATCGTGCAGTTTAGCTTCAGCTGCTTCAAGTTTAAAAGCCAGGTCCGGATGTGCAGTTCCTTCTCTTACTTTGGCTTGTCTTCGGGCAACTTCAACAGCCTATCTAGGTTCCAACAATTCAGTACAAAATTATCAGTGAGGGGCATGTTTAGTCCCGTATGCTATATCTTCATATTAATGTGGCATTTATTTTTTTTTTATTTAATCGGTATTAAATTAATACAGCAACACAAAAATCAACTCGAAAATGTGCAGCCAAGTACCTGAGCTTCGGCCTCCTGCCGCATCCTATCATATCTTTGGGCGAGATGTCGAGCATCTTCCAATGGAGCTCCCATTACCATAGCTCTCAATGGTTCAGCCACCTGATATTGCAATAAGCAAGGCCTTTAACTGACGATATAACTACAATATCACCGCATAGCCACTAACTATCATCTACTGTATGGAAGTTCAAAGCCTTCTTTTATATATGAATAGTATGATTCCTTCATATATTTTCCGCCTCGAAACTTTCACATTGACGCTAAAAAAGAAAAGCTGGAAACATATATGTCCATCCAGATTTAACATTAATAAAGGGATTCTGATGAAACTGCCCACAATAATAACTACAAATGAGCAAAGGCCTAGGTGACACCGATACTCACCCTAAATTAACAGATAAAGTCGAGCCAGCAAGCAATGCCGAGCGTAACATAGTTTTGGTACACATACAAGTTACAAACAAACTAGCAAATCCCATTGACTTTGCTCGGTGAGCTAAACATCTTACATGATAGATAACAACTGACATTAGGGCAGACGAGGTAGGGGAACATAAAACCAACAGGTGACATTCCAAAAGTCTAATATAAAGGACGGAAAATATACGAGTTTGAAACATTAAATATCTTGTATCCATAGAACATCTGGCGTAACATAGATTACTATAAAAGATAAGAGCTACTGTATAAAATAAAATAAAATAAAATAAAATAAATATATCAATTCTAAAAATTTCCTTCCCAATGTTCAACATTTGATCTACAAAAATATTGATATTATTTCTTAATGGAACAATATTTCCAAGATGCAAGTTATTAACCAATCTAACCAAGGCAGATGCATTTGATTGTCTTTTTATCTGTGTTGGTGTATGTGAAAAAATTGAATCAAGTGGTAGATGTAAAGTTGACATTGTAGTTACATATATATCCAACAAATATGAAACTAACAGATGTGACTTGCAAATAGACAATAGTCTAGACAACAATAGTTCTGACTCACGATTAGAAAAGCACAATCACTTAAGCTAACCCTGAATATATAGGTATCAAAGAAGTTTTCCCAGTGTTCCACAAGACCAATACGACAAGTCATGAAAACTAAAAATCAATGGGAATTCTGTTATAACTTGGAAACACAATAGTAACCTGTGTGCCAAAGGCTTTTAGCAGATTTCCACGTTCTTTCTCTATTTGAGCACGAGCTCGTGCGAAATTTGATGCAGCCTTTGACAATGTACTACCACTGGTACATGTATTTTCAACTCCATATTTCCTGCTATCTTCTGACAATTTAGTTCCTGAAGAAAAAGAGGATAATGAATTAACATCCTTCAAACTTCATCTATCAATATATTATATAACAGTCACTTGCAGTTCAGTGATTAACCTATCTCGACTTGTTTAGACCCTGTAACTATATAACCTTCAACACCACGAACAATGTCCCTTTGGAAATGCTGAAAAGTAGGAGATAAAATGTCTTACAACCAAAACCTATAAATAAGAGATAATACAACATGAAAAAATAACAAAACCTAGTAACGAAACAAAAAATCACGCATGCACAAATGAGCTTTAAGTGAGCAAATTGACCTTGGCAGCACGGGTAGATATGTATAGTTTTTCAAGTTTCTGATGCTGCTGGGACTCAGCATCATCAGCCACAATATCTGAAGCACCATAAGCACCAAACTGCTTCAGAACAGCCTGCATCAAATAGATTAATAATAACATCTAAACAATTTCAAAGATAAAAGATATTAAAAATAAACAGCATAGAGTAGTTAGAGAATATATTAAGCAGCTCCAGCCAAACAGCAAGACAACATAAACAAAAAACATAAAGTTTAAGCTGAAAACATGTGAAAAGTAGTAAACGGCCTTCTAATCAACTAAGTCGAGTACAAGGCATCAAAATTTAAGCAGACGCGTTTGGCACACAGATTACCAGCACAGTCACTCTTAGCTCGGCTATGCAATATTTTAATTGAACTCCAAAGCTTCAGCAACAGAATGTGAAAATGTGAGAATTAAGTAAGCTACCAACAATAATCACCACAATTATTGTTTAGAACCCTAATTTCATCCATTCAACCATAATTTAAGCTGCACGAACCTAAATCCATGCAAATGAAACACAGATGCACTAACCGCTTGATTCAAAAATCAAAGTATATCAAATGTAGAAATTCATCGGACAAACACACACGAAAAGATCAGCAATCCAAGCAGATCTAAAGCACCGTGACATTCAATCTTCTCACTGATCCGGACTGATTTAATACATAAATCCGGATTCATAAAGGATTTTGTACGGATATAGAGAAAAGAGAGAGAGAGAGAGAGAGAGAGAGAGAGAGTACCTGCTGTTGCCGGGCGACCTGTTCACGGAGTCTCGAGGCTTGTTTTCTGATGGCTTCCATTCACGAGATGATCAACAGCTCTCGAATGAATGAATAGACGAACAGAAATACAGAATCTTATTGGAGTTTAACGGAATAGCGTTTGAAGAATTTCAGGACTGGTGATTGTTTGAATTGAATCGGTGTTTCTGTTTTGGAAAGGGAAACATGAAAATGAGAAAGGCATATTCCTTTTAGTTTAATGGAACATGAGATGGCTTGAGCTTTTCCAGCTTAACCAGTGGTCTTGTGTTCGAGCTCTGGGAATGCAGCACTGTTAAAACTCTTGAGGGAGAGCTTTGTCGCCCTTGTGGTCCTACCCGGCTCGATTTCGGATTAGTCGGTTCCTCTGTGGATCCGAAAACCGGAAGATCCTTGTATCAAAAAAAAATGGAAGATACTACGGGCCGTTATGGAACCATTCCGTTTAGATTTATAACCGTCAGATCAATGTTGATGGCTACATGATAATCTAATTGTTACAACTCGACCGAATGATTCCATAACGGGACCTTAATACTTCTCAATAATAATAATATACCATATATTTTCCCTTACCGTGGTTTTCAACGGGACTCGAATTTTATTAAACTGATAAATGAATTCTACCTTGATACACAAGTAGAACCGAATTTAATCAGCAGAACTAACCTACAACTATAATAATTTGTGTAAAAGTTTTACACCTCGAATCCAATGAATCTTACAGGATACAACAAATTTTTAAAAGAACAATAAAAAATTTTAACGAGTCAATTTTCTTTTTTCTAAATAAGATGTTAAAGAATGCTCTATCGCAGAAGTCGAGCCAAATTTGAGTTTTAACGAGTAAGTCGTATTCACGAGCTGCTCGGTTTTTTTAACAGCTTTAGTTGATGTCAAAGTAATAATAATAAAATAGACTTATGAATGTTGTGCTTAATAATTTAAAAAAAAAAATGTTGCATTTGATATTTATGGCTCTAAATCATATTTTTAATTAGATTGTCTGAAAAAAGTCTAACAAAATTCAAATATTTTTCATGTTTGTACACAAATGCTTCAAGCCTACATCCACCATGCTGCTACGATGCTGTCTCCTCGAGGCACAATGGGCTAGCCCGACGAGTTATGGATTAAGATGGTCTCCAAGTTTTTAGGCCCAAAAGTACTTTACACTCTTTCTTTGTATTCACATTTTTCAGTATAATTTTTAAATTAAAAATTAATTATTACTACAAAATTTATGTATATAACTTACAATTTAATCACTCAAATATCAATAATTTTCAATAGTATTTTATTATTTATATATTACACAATAAATAATTATTATTAAAAATGTTGATACCCAATTTTGGCCTCGCTTATTAAGATATTACGCGTGGATATATATATTAAATCACGTGGATATGTATTAAATAAATATAAAATAGCAGGTTCTTTTATCTGATTTATATTGACCGAGTTCCCATAAGTCAAGACGGTCCACATCCAAAACCAATCAAAATTCAATGCCGCCAGCTCAACCCAGATATCACGAAGAAGTCACTTATACAGACGTCAATTGCTGACAAGACAAATGTCAGTCGAAGTGCCAGTCAATGCCATTATTTATTATAATTATTAAGCCCTGCGCGGTCATATTTATTGGGTCCTGCGTTGTCATATTTAAATGTAAAAGTCCATATATGTATATGTGAATGGGCTTAATGGGCTTTTGACTTCTTTTATTTATGATAAGATAAGAAAAGGGCGGCGCATATGTATATATTTTCCTCATCTGACAGCAAAGAGGAGGGAGGGAGAGACTCTGATATTCCCCTTATCTCTACAATGAACAAAAAGGCGGTTCCTTCCTCTCAAGCTTCTTCTTGAACTTACTTCTTCTTTATTTATTTTCACTTTCTACATCAAAAAATATACACGAAAATTCAGTGCCTTACAATACCAAAAAACCACTAAAAATTCATATTAATCCTACACCGATTATTTACAGAATAAGCGTATAATTTTGTTGTTACAATTTCGCATAACAACAAAAAACAATTGTATAAAATATATAATTAAGTTGGAACCATTTACGATTTCAATTATTAAATGTGATAGAAAATCACACCAAACCAAGTGCTATAAAACCATTTGAACCAAGTTGTATTACGCCAATACAAATCGGGCGTCTGAGCGCAACCCCACGATCTTCATCATTGGTATTTCAATTGAGAGTATTATCGATCGATTAAAAGGGAGTATATGTGCAATCAAATATGACGTACAATCAACCAATCAAGTGGTGCCAGGATTGAGAAGATGTTTTCCCAAACCGTCGGACGACGAGCGCGGATGGGCGACAACTCGAGTCATTCATCGTGAAAATCAACTGATTTAGAAAAGGAGCCAGAGTTTCATAACGAGTTCGTGAAGAACAATGATAATCGTTCACGAGGCTCAAATCACCGTGAACGGCGCAAGGGAGAGAAACCAAAACTGATTATGCCAAATTTTAATGGGGCGGTCCAAGATTCGTGGTTGAGCTGAGCTAATCAGTATTTCGAAACCAACGAAATACCGAAGGCAGAGAGGGTTAAATTTGACGCCTACTATATAGATGGGGAGGCGAACGTGTGGTGTCATTGGATATCGAGGGTTTTCAAAAAGAAGGACACCCAGATTTGTTGGAATTTTTTTGAAAATAAGTTGATTACACGGTTTGGGTCGTCAGATTACCATGATTACAAAAAAGATCTATCCCAATATAAAAAAGGGGGGCAACTTACGTGATTACCAGAAGGAGTTTAAGAGAACTGTGTGTTGTGTTTGCATTTGGCCAGTAGGGGCTATTAGTAGGGGTGTTTATTGAGGGTTTAAAGCCTGATTTGGCCGCTAAAGAGAGGCTAGAGAGATCAAAGATGATATTTGTATCCTAGAGGCTGCACGCATACAAAAAGACCACCTAGTAGCCCTGTGCAAGGCCAACCGGCCGGAGGTGCACAAATCGGCCTCATTTTCCATCCACACGCAGAGAGCCGAAGATGACGCGCTGGAAGAAAATGCGAGACCGATACCCATGGGGTTTAGGCGGTTGCCTTGGGATGAGATGCAGAAACGACGGGATAAAGTTTTGTGCTTCAATTGTGATGAGAGATTTACGTCAGGTCATAGGTGCATTGAGAAACAATAATTTCTCATAGAGTATGCAAAGTATGACGAGGGAGGACTAGAAGAAGATGAGCCCAAGTATGACACGGATCATCACGAGGACGACTTAAAGATTTCGATTCATGCAATGGGTGGGGCCTAGGGGCCGAATACAATGAAGTTGCTGGCGCGACTAGGGGATAACCGAGTGGTGGTGTTATTTAATAATGGTTCTTCTCACAGTTTCATTAATTCTCTTCTTTCCTATGAACTGAAGTTCTCTGTGACTAACGTGGATCTGCTTAACATGAGAGTCACTATTGGAAAACAATTGAGGTTCTCTGAATTCTTTCAGAGCGTACCCATTAAACTCCAAAGTGTGACGGTAAACGCCAATCTCTACGAATTGTCGTTGGTACGACCGGATATCGTCTTTGGAGTCCAATGGTTGAAAGTATTGGGAAAGGTCATGAAAGATTTTAGAGTCGACAAAATGGAGTTTTTGAAATGGTGATAGTCTGGTCAAGTTAAAGGTCGGGGTTAAAGAGGTGAGTTTGAAAAGGGTGGAGAAAGTTTGGAAGAGCGACAACCGGTTCTTTGTGCCTGGAGTAAACAAGGTAAACGTGGAGAACGGGCACACAATGTTGTTCATCTTGTCCAACAAAAGCGAGGGCTAGATAGGTATGTCCTTGAGGAAGGTTTAAATATAATATACATATTGGTTTCTAGTATAATTGATATGTACGGTAAATGTGGGAATTTAGAACATGCGTAACGCGTATTTGTAAGTATGTCTATCAGAAACCAGGTTTCTTGAAATACCATGATATCTGGAGTTGCTTTTCATGGGCACGCACAGAAATCACTCGTCTTATCTCAGCGCATGTTGGATGAAGAAAAGATTTTGTCTCTGGATGATATCACTTTTGTCGAGGTTCTTTTTGCATGTGGTCATGCATGTTTGGTGAGTGAATGCCATAAAATATTTAATATGATGATCTTCATTTGGGCTGGATGCCGAGAGCTGCAGCATAAATGTACAACCTTACTTGTGTACATCTACTAATTTCTCGATGTATACATGACTTTTGCTACCAAATGATAGGATTATTGTAAGTAATAATTGAGTTTCATTAACTAATATGGGTCCCACCATTATAATTTAATGATCAAATTTGGCAACTCAATAACGTGTGAAGATTCTTCTTCCAATGGGCCACATGTCAACTTGCATTATATATGTTTTGATGTAATAATGAATGGCGAGGTGTTAACTTCTGTATGGCCAGGCTTTATCTGATCGCGCTGCCTATAAATAGGCATTCAACCAGTAGAGAAAAATGCACCAAATAGAGAAAGAAAGAGAGAAGAAAGAAAGAGAAAAGAAAGGATAGAAATATTTATGTCCAAATATCGGATATAAAAATATCAAAGAAAAGAAACAAGTGATATTTTTATTTGTTTCAGAATATTCTTTTTAATTTCTAAGTGCTCAATTCTCGACTCCGTTCCCGTTCGCCGGAGCTCGTAAATCTGGTGTGCTACAGATTTAGAGACGTTTGCCGTTATATCTTTGGGGAAGTTACGCCTGAACCGTTAGCTGCCACACGGGGCATATTCTTCTTGCGGAAAGAGTTTTACTCGTCTCGGCTAAAATCTTTCCGTTTTTTAGTTGTAATTTATTTTTCAGTCCAATTGTAATTTTCTATTTTTAGATTATTTGTAAGAACTGAAAATACATATCAGTTCGTAGGATTCCCGTGTAATTTTACACCAAAAATCACCCAATCGCAAGAAGAATAACAGTCATCCTACTGAACTGGTGGCATCCACCGGAGCAGGTTCCAGCTCTCAGCAGCTGATCAATCATGTACCTGTTGTCCATGTTCATACAGCTGAAAAGT